CACAGATGTAACAAAATACCTGGTCTTTCATAACCTCAGAACGTTAAAGAAAAAATAAACCTTGCACACATGAAGTTTTACTAAACTGTATGCTATGGAATTCAAAGAGTTCCAAAGCTAAGTATGTTGGGGAAACAGACCATCTTTCAGAGATTCACAATGCACATCATCTTTTAAAAAGGGTCTGAGAAGTCCTGCAGTAAAGAAACTTAACTTTGTCTAACTCAGCATTTCCTAGATGTTTGTTACTGTGCAAACTCCTTTTTCCCCACAAGGGGGACCAAATAACACTTACAAACCTTTTGGTACACATTCAGAAAATCTGAAGTAGATAACTGAGAAATATGTGTGGAGAAAAAATGGATGAAAATAGATCAAATAATTATAACTGTTTCAGGGTGGGTGGGGTTGTGGGTGATGATTTCCCCTGCTTTTTTAATAAATATAGTCATTCCAAATGCTCTACATTTGGTGAGAGCTAAACACAATAATTAAAACCCTTGAACCACTGCCCTAATTATTCCTTGAACTATAGGACTGTCTGCAGAACCTAGTTTCTTCCCAGCACTCTGGCCCGTGGTGCTTATCTATTTTGAACCTCTGGATTCCATCATGCATTTCAGCACTGAATTTCACCACTTGGTTCTGTTCTCTTCATCTCTTCATTCAACAAACATTAAAGTCCTACTTTGTGCCACATGTTGAGATTGCAGCAGTGTGCAAGAATAGCCACTGTCGTGACCTTGTGACATTTGCTGTAACCAATTATCACACTATGGACTGTGTAACTACAGGTAACACATCTCAGAGGGGATAGTGGCCAAGCTAAAAGTTGATTGATGAAATGGGAGCTAACTGAACACAGAAGCAAGAGGGGGGATACTTGCACAGGCCCAGTAGCAGGAGGAAACACAGCTTGTTTGGGAACCTGAAAGGCTCATGTGGCTGGAGTGCAAGGCCAAAGTGAAGGTAAATGGTAGGTAAAGGCTGGCTCACGCAGGCTTCATGAAGGCCACGGGAATTTTGTTTTAATCATAAAGAGCATCAGGAAGCCATTGACATGGCTCTAAACAGCTTGCACCTTTAAAAGATTTCCCTGATACCATGTGGAGAATGGATTTGAGGGAACCACTATGGTGGCTGGGAGATCAGTTAGGGACGAGGTAATGGTCTGAAGTAGAGTGACAGATGGGAAGAAATGGATGGATTCAAGAACAAGTAGGAGGTAGAAATCAACGGGCTTGGTGACAGAATGGAGTTGGAGAGTCAAGGGAAAGGTGGGTGTCAAGAACAATTCCTAAGTTCTGATTTACATAACTCAGTGATGATGCCATTTGCCAAAATAGGGAACATGGCAGAGGCCCCAGTTTTGTGCGTGTTTGTGTGTGATCATAAATCTGGTCATGGAGACAAGAGTTTGAGGTATTACTGAAAGATCCAAAGGAACGTGGATGCTCAGAGTAGAGGTCTGGAAGGAAGATTCAAGTTTGGAAGCCATAGGTATATGGAAAGTAGATTGAAAATTTATTCTTGCATGAAATTGCCTAGGAAAAAAGTAAAGGAAGGAAGAAAGCTTGGACCTGGTCCTTAAACCAACACTTAATTAACATCACCATGGAGGTGTATTAGCCACAAAGGAGGCAGTGAAGGCATTCCCAGAGAGAAAGAAGAGTGCAGGATCAAAGATGCCAAGGATACTCTGTTTGGGGAAGGAATGGTGAATGGTACATCAGAAGCTGCTGCAAAGTCAAGTAAAATGAGGCTAAAAATGTGCCACTGAGTGGGGCACAAAAACAGTATGCACACATTAACCACATTTGTAGAAGTTTCACAGTGTCATGTGTCCCCAGCTAGACTTCTCAATGTCAAGGGTAGCAAAGGGCAAATAAAATTCCATAAAATTTTGAGGATGATTAACACACACTAAGATAACGAGTGGTTTTACTGTGACCTCCTCCTCCTCCCAGCCATCATTGTTCAGATGCATTTTGACAAGACCAGTCCTGTTCTGGTCACTGGACACAGAAAGGTGGATCAATGCATCCCTTCCCCCCCAGGAGTTCACCATCTGGTGGGGGAGACAAGCACAAACCCGGAGAAGCATCACACCAAAGCACTGGTTAGCAGCTCACCTACACTGAGCTGCTGGCAGCATAGTGTTCAATGTGCCAGAGACTCAGATGCTGAAGTAGAGTGAACCACTTCAAGGAATTTTAATAACCAGCTTCTCTACCCTGAAGAACCCCTGAATGGCCTGGAAAAGGAATGGTTACGCAGGTCCAGAACTCTGATAACATCTTTTAATCAACATTCACTTCTTTATGAAGGGTGAGACACAGTTAATTTTGGTCACTAAAATTACCACCCCCTCCCCCAATTAGACCTTCCAGTTTTACTTCATTTTATACTATGTACTGAGAGAGGTTAAGGCAGGTTAGCTGAAACTGAATTTGGTTGTAGGAAATGAGAGACAGTACAAATCAATCATATTCTCGTAGAACTCTTTCCGTAGAATCAGAATTCATCTTCCTGCCTTTTGCACATCACATTAACCAGCATGGGAAAAGAGGTAACTTTGACCTTGTTAAAGAAACTCTCGTCAAGCATTTGAGGGCTGGGCCATTGGTTTTTTTTTCCCTCCCTAAGTCATACCCAGTCTACCTCAACACTTCATAGGATCCGTCTTCTCTAACTTGATGAAAGCCCTAAAATCTTAAAGTTGCTAGAAATTAGAAACACTGTTGACATCTTCTCTATGAGGTTGTGATATGCACCTTTATCTTAAGCATTCTCAAGTCAGGCCAATGTCTTCTAGGAAACCCAGTGCCCATAATCACAAGCTTATCAGCAGGAAATCTCTCTGTGGCCAACAGGGAAACATCTGGACTCTTCAGAAAAAGTGAGAATCTGATCATTTTAAAGGATTTATTTGATTTCTCCACATGATCACAGCTATGGTTTTTCACATCAATAGAGTCTGTTACTACTCACAAACAGAATGCATATTAAAAGAAAGCACTCCTTGCCTCCTCACAGTTACTGAGGGGGTGTCAGCCTTCTTGTGAGTGAGGAGTCCCTTGAAGTCTGCATTCAAGACCTGATTCTAGTCATTTAAAACAACTCAAAGGTGAGTGACAGTTCTCAAGAGGAGACAGATATTGCATACAACCTCAGCATGACCGCAGACAGGACAGCGACACCGACGTGTACAGGAGGCACGAGGGACCTCCAGCAGGCTCTTCCTGCTTGTCCCTTCCACCACCCCCACTTACATTGATTCATTGTGCAGTCGATTTCCTTGATTATTGTTGTTATTTAAAATACGTACAAAATTACTCATTTTTCAGGCAGGGAGGGTGATGATATTTTTACAACAAAACTGTAAGATGCATGCTTAACCTGTAGAGACAGAGCTTCATATGGAACACTGAGTCAATACCGAGGGTCATGTTTAAATATCTGCTGTCTTTTCAGCTCATTTTTTTTTTTTTAAGAAAGAAGAGGCTTCTGCTGCATGCAGTACATGGTGGAAAACTCACGCTACACTAGAAGACTGAAGACATTTTTAAGCAAGATGTGCACATCATATTAGGATAAACTTTATTTTTTACAGTGTTGTACAATTCATTAATAAACTTAAAAAAATACAAATACATGATTTAATTGTTGTCCCAGAAAAGATTTTTTTTGATATTACCAGCTGCTTCCTCTAAGGGTTGCCTGTTCCTGTCAGAAATTATGTAATTGAAATAATTTGTGCGACTTGAGAAAAATGTCCCAAGAGTGTCCTGACAGATTACACAAACATCGTGGTGGCGCTTGGCCTCCTGAGGGCACGATGGGCTCTGTGAACAGTAGGTCCCCACAGCTGTGACTCTGACAGGCTGAGATCCAGATAGTACAGCCCATGAAAGCAACATGGGGGTCACGTCTGGCTCTAGTCTCTTTAACAGAACAATGTACTTCTGGAAACACTTCCTATGATAGGCTTGCAAACGAAACACAGAGAATGACAAGACCTCATTGAACACAATGCACTGTATAAAGTTGGAAACACTGTATAAGGTTGGAAACTGCATTTGTTCAAGAAGCCACCTTTCACTAGACCTAGCCCTGTGGCACCTAACAAACTCAGCGTATCAGTAACAGTTTTGGAGGTGAGAGTTCCAAGTGGCCCTCGGAGCACTGCAGATGCAGTGATGGGAGAACCCTCCCAGAGGCCTCCACCACTGAATTTATTGTTGGTTCTTTTTGCTTTGTTTCTCACTAGTGCCTGTCCCTTTGAAAAGAGCATCCTTGTACCAAACAGCCTGTATCTTTTCTGGAACAACCTATAGTTTACAGTTGAACTCTACCATTGGTACAGAAGAGTAAAAAAAGCAGACATATTTAATATGTTATAACTTTACTTCAACTATTTGTCAATAGTAACACTGATATAGTTTGCAAATATACAATACATAGATGTGGCTTCACACGATCAACATCTATGACACACGGTATTTGACTTCCTTGTCAAAACAACATCCTTTAAACTGCACAACAGAGAATGCCTCAGGGAGCCTGGGTTTGAAGAAAAACCACGGAATTCAGGAGTCAGTGGGACCGGGGAGCCCCCCCTCAGCCGGGCCTGGACCAGATCAAGTGCCTGTGCTCTTTACCTCTCTGAGTGGACGCCCAAGAGAGAGATGCTGGACCAACGAGAGGGTAAAGGCAGGCAAGTTCAAGTCACACTTCTTTTTAAAAAAGGCTAAATTCTAGATTGTTGTATTTGCTCTCTGTGGAGATTAACAAAGTGCTCAGTTTGCAGATTTGCTGGTATGATGACCTCGATGATATGGCAAAGAGGTGGTGGGGAGTGAAATGGACAGACACCCAGCCGGCTGGCTAAGGTGGGCTCCCCTCTGTCGTCTGCAGTCCGGCCACAGCTCACCATGACTTCCAGGAGCACGAAGCCCCACAGCCCACAGTCCCGTGTTTGCTTCGCCCTTTCTGAAAGGGCTCTCCACCTGGGCAGGTGCCGTGGGGCAGTCCTCGGGGTCCCATGGCTTAGGAACACAGCACTGGTGGCTGCAGTGGCTCGAAAGGCTGAAACTACAAAGTATGGCCCATGGGTGACTCAGGCACAGAACCGGACGCGTGCAGCGCCCGGTCCCAGGGGAGCGGATGGTGTCACCACAACACGGAAGCAACAAGAGCACAGCTGAGAGTCATATGATGCCCTGGCAGCTAACTGGACCATGAGAAGGCAGCGGGAGCCTCGCCGGTGAGGGCTGGGCACTTCTCAGCTGGGGTTAGAGGGGCCACAGGGATGACACAGGGGTTATGCTAGCACATGGCTACATGGAGTTACAATGATCACGGCTACCACTCAGAAAATAAAATGGGAAACACACACACTGCCCTGGTTGCTAAATGCTAAAATCAGCCTGCAGGTCTGAAAGAGGTTCCTGGTGAAACCGTGCTCGGGGGGCCTCTGCCTGTTGCAGCTGGAAACAGGATGAAAAAGTTATGGTGCTGAGGGAGACGAGGATGAGAGCTGGTCGTTCCGGGTTGGAGATGCTACGTCTGCAGTGTATGGGTGCCCCTCTCAGAGGACTCTGGGTGAGTGTGCATCAACTCATATGCATATAAAAGAAATATGGGTCATGGAAATTCACAGTCATCACAGCCGTTCAGATGTCTATGAATCTGTGTGTAACCGATATTCGAAGACAACCAGTTCTTAACTAGTTATCCTGAGTTGCTACTGTAGTTTACTGCATTTTATCTATTTGCTTACCTGAAATAACAGAGCAATTATAATACTGATTACTTATGATAGTATTCTGTTAATAAAATAAGGATTTCTATAAAGCAACATTGGACTTTTAAACAGTTAGATCTATGTTACTTGGCACAGTTAGTAATGATTGCGTAAGTAATGATTTAGTCCTAGAGGGACTTCTTTGCTTTTTATGAAAATATGAAAGTATCTGAGTTTGTTCCTAGCATTTAGGTTTTCAGTCTACTCTCTCATACATTCATCTAAGGTACTGTCTTTCTATCAGGTACGTGGAGCTCCTTGTAAAGTCTATATTGCTAATTTTGTGGACTGAAATGTTTGCCTTTCACACACAAATACTACCTATACAGTATATATATATATATAGATTTATATTTATATATTTATATATTTATATTATATAAAGTTTACTTACGTATTTTCATCAACCATATCAGGTCTACTTAATTTTGCCCATTGTCAATAAAAGAGCAATAATGCAGCGAGTTTTGGGTTTTCTGTTTTGTTCTGTTCTGGTTTTTGTGTCTTGTTTCTTCTTTCTCTAGGCTTTCATATGCATGTACAACTAGGGAGGAGCGCGGTCAGGGCTGCGTGGGGGTGGAGGGGTGGGCAGTTCAACAACAACTTGGCCAGAGGTACCATTTCAAAGCTGATGGTGGCTGAGGCCCACCCCTTGGGATGAAGAAGACGGAGCCCGGGGCTGCAACGCTAAATTAAATCAGGAGCTTTGTTTCCTACAACACGAGCCTATAGGCTTGGGAGCTCCCATCCAGGCTGTGGGGAGCGGGGGCCGGAGATGGAAACGGAAGGGCCCTGGGTCTGGTCTGAGGTTGGCTGTCCCCGGCGTGTCTCTGTGTGGTGTGCACTTGTTCCAGGGGGTCTGGGACCCCCTTTCAGGCTGTCTACACAATTGTGCTGATGACGCTGGGTTTCGCCTTGCTGCTGGTGGGGGGCGGTGGAACAGGGGACTGCCCGTGGTGGTGTCCTGCATGGCTCGAGTGGCCGGGATGGCTGGCGTGGGCCAAGGGCAGGGGTGGGTGGCTGTGCACGTGGGCCCCGTAGGGCAGGTGCCCCCCGGGGGGTCCATGGTGGTAGGCGTGTGCGTGCTGCATATGCTGCGGGGGGTGGTAGTGGTGGTGGTGGTGGTAGGGGGGCGGGTTCTGCTGCATGTGGCAGTACTGGCTGTGGTGCCCATGCACCTGGGCCTGTGGCGGGCCCTCTGCAGGCCCCTGGTGATGGCTTGCCACAGAGTGCGGAGGGTGGGGCAGGCTCGGCAGGTATGGGGGTGGCTGGGGAGGGGCTGAAGGCAGGTAAGCCTGAGGAGGGGGCTTCCCTCTCTTACTCCCAAATAAGGAGCCCAGGAGGGAGGATGAATTAGGCATTGTCTGGTGTGGGCGAGATGGACACTCTCGTGTTGATGGAGCTCTCCGGCGCATGTGAGGGCTGCTAATGATGGACCCCTAAAAAGGAAATTCATAGAAATCAAAATTAAAGCACTTATCTTAAAGCACAATCTTAAAGCACTTATGTCAGAATGAAATTTTTTTAATGTAAAAAGTTCACCCACTGACTGCTATGCCTTAGTTCAACTCACTGGCCACAGAGGGCAGGGCTGGGTGAGGCTGGACTCTGGCGCCACTTCCTACACGACTGTGGCAGGTCAGCTGCGGGGTGAGGAGTGGCCTTCCAGTGAGAACAGTGGGAGTTGGGCAAGAGAGGAGGGAACCTCCTGTCTAGGCAACCACAGCAGCAGCACAAGTTATGGCTCTCAGCCTGACAAGCACCCTGTCACAACAGGTGGCCTGAGCTTCCAGATCAAAGCAGTTTGTTTGGGGGTGTCCGTGAGCAGTGTGTGCTAGAGGAGTGGGGCAGGCTGGTGTGTGTGAAGAGGAGCGCTGTTCCTGCTGAAATCTCACCCTCGGCTCTCCTGCATGCTCTGAAAGGGTCCAAGAGCATTTGCTCTACCTGTGTGGAACCCAAGGTTTCTGAGAAGGTGGTAAAGGGACAGGAGAGGCTTGGGAAATCTTGTCCTGGGGCCAGGGACTGACTGCCTAGGCATTTCATTGCAGCTATCTACTGCAAACCAAATAAGGAAAAAGAAAGAAACAAAAAGGTCTGCAAGCCAAGGTTAAGATGTGAACAGTAATATAGAGATGGCTGGAGGATGAATGAAATCTCATGAAATCCACACTGTTTTTCTTTCTGTCATGGCTCTCCTGCTCCCCCAAGCTGGCTAAGCAAGTCCATGGTGCCCTACCTGCAGACACACAGCAAGTGAAACTCCAGGAAGGAAGCAATGGGGATGGTGGAGCATGGAAGTCAGGAGACTGGCAAAGGGGGAGGTTGCAGGAGTGCCCTCCAGCTGTTGCTTCCGCCCAGAAGCAATGCTGGTTGGTGGGTAGAGACAGGGAAGTGCCCAGAAGCTGGGGGGGTAGGGTGGGGGGGTGTTAATCATGCTGGGAGGCCACAGGGGAGAGGGGTTAAGTGGGAACTAAAAAAGAAAAAATCAGAGCCAGCCCCCACCATTGCAGCCCAAACAAGCGGTGAGATTCTAGGCAGAGGGGATTCTGGCATGCACTGGGCCGAGGCAGGCACTGGGGATGGGGGTGTGTTTGCACCTCTGTGCAGTAGGGAAAGCACACACACACAAAAGACAACAGGTATAAACCCAGGATTGGGGAGGCGACACACGACAGCCAGCTGAACGTAGGTGCTTCCTACTTACTTCCACAGTGCTCTCTAGCGATCCCGCACTGCTGCGACGCCCTCGCTTCCCTGCCCAGAACATGCAATACCAGAGGTTAGACGCGGACATGAGGCCAGGGCACTGTGCCGCTGCCACCACCACCAGGCTCAGGTATGGGGCCCACCTGCTGCATGTCAGGACAAGAGGAGGGGCTCAGCGGGGAAGCTGGTGGCAGGGCGGAAACTAGTTAATAAAAGGGGGGGGGCGTTAAACAAATAAAAATAAAATTAGTTTTCAACCAGCCCCTTCTCCTGAATCAGCAGTCTGTGGGAAGGGGCCACAGGGCAGGCCAAGGTAGGGACACAGGTGGGGCCCACAGCCCCATGGCTCAAGTTGGCCCAGGCCAGCTGCTGAGGGGACAGGGTAAGATAACTTCTCCAATGGCTAAAAACAAACAAAATGTGGTCCACGGGCCTGACTTTCAGTGCATTTCATATATGTATAGTATGTATCTGCATATACATATACATACACATACATATATCTCTCCCTCCTCCAGGCAGGGTGAGAATCATGGTTGGGAAAAAACTAAACCAGACACCCTTTTCCTCCTGGGTAGGTTAAAAGAGCTGGTGCCTCCAGAAGTGTTTGGTTTGTGCAGGGCCCTGGCCAGGGGCAGGAGACAGGGTCAGAGGCTGCTAAGGGGGGCCTGGAGTCCCACTCCCCTCTGTGGGTGCCACCCCAGGATGCCATTAGCATTCCCTTGGCGCCCACTGCCAATGCCTTTTTAGGTCCCCAGAGCATGGCATGTGGTAGGCACTACATGTGTTGGGTATATTAAAGGAAAGTTGAGTTTTCCGCTTGGTTCTGGATGTTCAGTGCCTGGCCTGGCCTGCAGAGTCCCTCTGAGCACTTCTTCACGGGTTCCTGCAGGACATCCAGGCCAGTGGGAACAGTGGTACATAAGCTTAGAGGCCCAGCCTCCAACTCGTCTCTGGGAATGCAGATGGGCAGGGGTCACAGAGAAGGGGCCTCCCACTTGACGTTTTCTAGGCTTCCATCTGTGCAGCCCTGGGCATGAGTTGAGCACCATGTTGGTTGCTGCTCAAGTCCCTAACAATGCAGGACAGGTGTCACTCTATCCATGCCAAGGAGGAGGAAATGGAGGCTTTGGCTGATGGCCTGATCCCCTCAATTCCCGAAGTGAGCAGGGTTCACTCCCAGGTCTGCCTGTCCACCTGAGGCTGGAAATCTTGGTCAAGCTGCCTTCTGAGCTGGACCCAGGCCAGGCCCAGGAGCCTGGAAGATGGGATAGATGGCCATATGCCTCTCTGTGGCCTGCACCTCTGTGGAGAGGGTGTGCCTGTGGGTCTGTGGACCTCACAGCAGCACCTGAGCATGCTGGGTCACACCAAGAACAAGGCTTCAGTCCTAGGCAGACAGCAGCAGGCTCAGGTAAGGTCCTTTGCCTTGACTGCTGACCCTCCACCCTTCCCCAGCCTGAGTTTCAGCTGGAAGCCTGAGGCCTACAGAATGCCTTGCTGGACTTTGGCATGTGTGAGAGGGTCAGGACAGGGTCACACAATGGATGAGGGCAAGAGTGTTTTCCACCAGTTTCTGAGGGCCAGGAAAAACTCTTAATCCCAGCCAGAAGAAAGATGATGGTCACATTTCCTCATCTTCCAGCTGGTGTGAGAAGAGAAATGACCTTCTCAAGGCTCTCCTTCCCCTGTCCAATGTGGGCCAAGACTTAGGAGAGCTTTAACTTGGATATCTTTGAGTGATGTTAGGTTTCTCAGAGTTCATTTTTTCCACTTCTCAGATCAGCATGAGACATGGGGTGTCCCTACAGCAGCTCCCTGGACTCCAGTCCCAAAGCCCCACTCACAGGCATACCCACAGACAGCTGCCCACTACACACCCGTGTCCAGATGTGTGCACACAAACACACCATTAATAGAGGCAAAATATTCCAGAACAGAGTCTCACGTCCACATAACCATACTACCACTCATCTGCCCTGTTTCCAGATAACCTTCCCTGGACCCTGCACTTGCTGTAGGCGAACCCTTCCCCAGGCAGCACCTCTCCTAGAACCGGCCTGATCAGAAATTATGTCTGGAAGGGGTTCCCGCCATGGCTGTTCAGAGCTTTCCCCTGCCTCTTAGAGTCATGACAGAACATGAGCTTTCTGCCCAGAGGGTTGGCCCTGCGACCTTAGCAATGCTGGAGGCCGCGCAAGTGCACTTGCCCAGTGACAACAGCCACACACTGTGCCAGGCCCTGTTCTAAATGCTTGGCAAGCATCAGCTGTCTCACAGAGATGCTTAGAGGGAAGTACCTTAAAGGTGGGGAAACTGAAGCTCAAAGATATTATTTGGCCAGGGCCTGACAGCTAATGAGCAACAGAAGGGGTGGGGGGAGAAAAGATCTTATCAGTGTGACTCTGAAATCAGTGTGCTGTGTGTGTGTCCTCTGCTGGGCTCTGGTTGGGTGGCCATCCCAAGTGCACCCCTGAGCACAGACTGTCCCAGGAGAGGCAGCTACAAGCCATTTGTGTGCAGAGTGCCCATCTTGGGGCAGCAGGTGGTGCTTTGGAAACTGGCCACCAGGAGCCACCAAGTCTCCCCAGATGGGACTGCCCTGGTGCAGGACACAGCTCTACTCCTGGAGTGATGATGGGTGCAGGCAGGTCCTACGTCCCCATGGGGACTGGTGTTGAGCAGCTCCGCTGGAAAGGTGCAGACCTCAGGGACCCACAGGCAGTGTCCATCATGACTTAACTGATCTGGGGGAAGGGTTAAGGCCTAGTTACACTGTGTTCAAGGTCCTTGCCAATCCTTGATCATGAGCCAGCAGGGCTCTGGTGCCATTGAAATGCCCACAGGACCCTGACCGAAGGAAGACTGTTTGGAGGGATGTGGGGTGAACACCTCATAGCTTAGTGGGGATCTTGGCTCGAGCCCAGGCCCTTCTGCCTACCTCTCAGGATGTCAGGAGGCATCTGCTGCCAGTTCTGGGCTATCAAACCAAGACTGTCTCTTGGGTCCTGTAGGTTCATAAAGGGCTGAGGCCACATTCCTGGTAGGCTGTCTCCTAGGTAGCTATGTAAGCTCAGATCTGGGGCAGCTGTTCTTAGACAAGTGGTTGGACTTGCCAACCACTAAATGTGGGGTTTCCTGAGGGGACAGACTCCCCAAGGCCTTGCTTCTCTTCAACAAGGTCATCTCGGTGAAGGCCACAGTGGGTGGGAGGCTGCTGCATCTGGAGAACTCTGGCCAGCCTCGTGCAGAGCACACAACTCTGGTGGCTAAGCCCAGCATCTTCTGGAAGGCTGCTGCATTGGCCTGTCTCCTTCTGGAGGTCACAGGTGGCCTGCTCCTAGTCTGGGGCCATGGTGGCTGCCAGAACTTAAACACCCACTTCACCTCACCTCACCTTCCAACCTTCCTGGGGTCAGGGCACTTTCTTTCCTGGGAATTTGTTTCACTGTAGCTTCAGTCTCTGAGAAGACACAATCCCTAGAATCTTTCTCAGCTCAGAATCCCTAAATGAAGAGTGGCAAGAGTAACAATAAATGAAAATCAGCCAAATTTTGGAGCTCCATCCCTCCCATGGCCATGTGCCTGGGCATGTGGCTCTGTCTGACCTCTAAGCTCTGGGAGAGTGGGACATACTTATCACCTGGATTGAAGTGAATGTGTCTGGACATGCTAAGAACCTCAGTTTGAACAGAGTCACTGCCACCTGAGGCGGCTGGACAGGGTCCTCTGGCCCTCCAAGGAAGAGAGAGGCCAGAGCCTGCTACACTGCACAAACCCGAACACAAGCTCCAGCCTGGAGGCCCATGGTAGCCCAGTTACGTTTAGCTGGGTTCAGAAGCCACAGGGAAAATCAGTGGTTCTCAACCAAGGGTGATTTTGCACTGCAGAGGGCACCTGGCAATTTCTGGAGACATTACTAATTGTTATGACTGGGGAGTAGAGGCCATGGATTCCGTTAAACCTCTTCTGCTGCAATGTCACCACAGCGAGGAATCATCAGGCAAAAAATGCCAACAGGGATGGGGTTGAGAAGCCCTGGGTTAACCCTCATGCTGGCAATGGATTTCTGATTTTCACTATGGGAAAAAAAAAATGACAAGACAAAAGCAAAGGAAAAAAATCCAACTAAAAAAAAGGAAACCAAAAAAGAAGTAAAGAAAAAAAGAAAAAAAAGTTCTGAGAAATGAATAAGCCAAACAAAGGGAGGTGAGCTCCTGGCAGGGCAGGTACCCGATGGCGTCATGAGCAGGCTCTCATGGGGGGGCCTGCAGCTGGCCACTTGGTGATGCCTGAGGCAGGGCGGGGCAGGGCCACGGGTCCTCTGGAGAAGAGGAGGCTGAGCTCGGCCTGTGGGCCTTCCCCAACAAAGCAGGGGCTCCTGGGACCAGGATACCTGAGGCCTCAGGGCAGGTAGAGCCTGGGGTCCCAGGATCCTACAGCGCTGTGCAATGCCCTGCAACCCCCACTGCACTGCAGACTCTGAGCCTCCTCCCAGGAGAAGCTGACTGGCTAGACATGACTAGTGGGAGGATGAGCACACTGCCAGGGTGTACCCTTTCGCCCTATAGCTCCTCTGATAGGACAGCAGGCAAACTGGGCTGAGTAGCACTCACAGGCAGTTAGTGCAGGTCTGCTCCCATAACTCTGCTTTACGTGCCCCAGCCATGAGGACCAGGCCATGTAAGGGCTGCTGCCAGTAGACGCTCCCTGCTCCCTGACACTCCAGGCACAACACCCCGTACCCCTACTCCAGGAAAGCTGGGAGGCCCGAGAGGTGCTGCTTGCTTGGGGGTTAAGAGGCTGGCAGCAAATTAAACACACACAGAAACAGAACAACAAATATCACAGTTTCCACCAGGGCTTTCCCCCGATTCCCAGGGCCAGCTCTGGCTGCTGCTTCTGGGCTGGACAGAAGCCCAGAAGGGAGACCTCTGGGGAGCAAGCAAGACCAGGGACAGCGGGAGAGGGCGTTTCCAGACAGTTTAGAGAGCTGTACTCCATTTCATTCATCAGCATAAAACACAGGGGCGTGGCAGCACAGAGGACACAGGACACATCCATCAGCGGGCCTGGCTTACTCTTTGTGAGAACCAACTTCAGAAAATAAATAAAATAAATAAATAAAGCCCTGGAACAAGAAAGGGAGAATAGAGGAAACTTCCTTGCTTTTCTGCCTTTGACAATTTGGTCCTGGGTTTTTTTGTTTTTGTTTTTTGTTGTTTTTGCCTTTTGGTGACATCCTCTCTGTGTGCTGTTATGCTGCTATGGTTTGGGGATGATCATCGGAAAATCAGTGGAGCTCCGTCTGAGCCCTCCACCACCAGCCACGCTGCAGTGCCCTCCCGGCGCGCAATGCATGCCCCAGCCCCTGGAGTGCCCACTCTGAGTGCTAGGCTCAGCTCTTACCAGCTTCTGAAAGGTCCCTCAGGGAGCTGCTGAGGGCGCTGCGCTTGAGGCCCTCGCTGCTGGCGTAGCTGTCGTCCAGGCAGGCCCGGTTAAGCGTCCCATTGCCTGACTCCTTTTTGAGGCTGGAGCACTGGGACATGCTGGGCCGCACAACACCCTTCTGTTTCTCGAGCTCCGCTGGAATAGAGGAGCAATGGTCCAGTGAGAGGAACACAGCCTGGGGAGGACAAGGTTGGGAGTAGGGCGGGGCTAGAACCCCCTCACCAGGGGGAAATAAAGAGGACCACTGCCCTCTGTTCAGTGTTGGCACTGTGACTAAGTCTCTGTCTACCTGAGATGGGGAAAAAGTAAGGGGACAGGTGCTGTCTTAGGAAAGAAGTGTGATGGTTACCTTCAATGAAAGGAAGACAAAACCAGACTCTAGAAGGGACACTGGAGACGCCACAACGCCTTGTGGCCTGCATGAAAGACAGTCACTTTCCAGGCTTGAGGATCAACAAGGAGAGAGGGTTACTAGGCCTGGAGATAAGCTAAGTGTTGATTGGCCTTTTGTGCAAGGGCAAGAAGTAGGCACGACTGAGCCTCCAAGGGTGAGGACTGGAGCCAGGAGAAGTAGGGGTTGTAGTCAACTCTGGAGAACCCAGGTGATGGGTTCTGCGCATGGCTGTGACCTCATCAGTCTTCTGTGCCCTGGTGCAGAAAATGACTAAATAACAACCGCAGTGAAATGCAAAGAGCTCAGCTTCAGAACTCTGGGAGCTCTTGTCTCATGGGGTAACCAGGAACCAGGGGGGTCTCCCCAGTCAGGACAGGCCTGGGCCTCGGAAGCCCTGGCTTTCACCAGGAAGCCTCTGCCACCTTGTCCTTCCTCTGTGCCACCTTCTGTGGCCTGGGCGTGTGGGCTGACAGTCACATGGACAGGAGAAGACCAGAAAAGACTGGGGCATATCATTTCTGTGGGCTCACAGTCACTGCCACCACAGAGGAGCCAATGCCTGTGTCCAGTGATTCCTAAAAGATGCTGTGGTTGCTGGCTCTTCCTCCCCAGGTTTACAACTTACACTCTATCCTGTGCTTCTCCATCTCCTGCACCTCTGCAATAGACTCCCGTAGGTCATCGCTGAATTTCTTCCGGTCTTGAGGATTGGGAGCGTTAAAGTTTATTAGCACTTTTATGTCTGCTCCAGGGACTGCAGATGTGAGCCGGATGCCATTGGGGTAGTCTGCAAAGGAGAAGAGAACGGATGGGACCCTGCATTCTCTGCCATCTCCCTTCTGGTCAAGTAAATGCCAGTAAGTCTGAATTCAGGATGGGCATGAGAGAAGTGGTTAGAGTGCAGGCTTTTAGCAGGCATGTTTGATGGAGAAAAAAGCTTCTACAGTGCAGCCTGGTAGAACCACCAGGCAACCTCCATCTGCTAACTTGGGCACATGTTGCTTGGTATAAAGTCAGGGGAAGATCTGGCTCATCTTGAGAGGAGGCCAGGGCTCTCTTCTTCTCCAACCTGAAGGTCATGGAACCCAGGTCCTTCATTTCCAGTCCCTTGGCCTCTAGGAGATAATGGCCAGGTACTGAGTCCAGGCAGAGACAGAGGCAGCATCCTATGGTAGATGGAGTCTTACGCAGTCACCTCAGATAATTCTGGGACTAGACTGAGCTCTGTTCTCTGCCAAATGGCCTCTAGAACCTCAGCAACCTTGGGGTACACTGTGGGTGCCCCCACACCTAGTGCACTCTGTGCTGAGTGCAGCATCTTTCTACTCAGACCTGCCTGGGGCCACTTCTGAATGCAAGGGTTCTCTAGGTCATTGGTCTCTTGGAAGCACCTCTCCCGCCAGTGGAAATTGAACATTAATTACTGAGTGTTTGAAGGATCTTGACTCAAACACCAATCTCACCTTTGACCCATGTCAAGGCTGAAGACTTAGACACTTAGAAGCCCAAGAGACTCTTCTGAACGCAGGTGAGACTGAGAGCGACAGTGCTGGGGACGGAGCGTGCCACTGGGGACCCGCCACACAGGAGTCTGGGCCCAGGGACGCCACTGTTTCTCGTTTTTCATGAGAAGCCAAAAATATTAATGTGAAGATTTGAATATCAACTCAACAAATTTTTTAAAGTATATGAACTAAATATAACGTAATCGAGCCAGACGACCCTAGGCCTCTGTGATCCACTTACACCCACAGAAGGCCTCCAGCTGCACCTCAGAATGTGTCCCGACCGAGTCCTCCTCTGTGCCAGGAGTGCTTCACACGTGCGCAGTCCCGCCACATGGGCACTGGCACCGTCCCATTTTACAGACAAAGGAAAAGCAGCCCAGAGAGGTTAAGCAGTCAGGCCACACAGCTGCTGACCATAAGAGCTGGGATTTGGACACTGGCTGTCAGCCCCGGGGCTCAGTCCTGCACCTGTGCATTCCTGCAGCACCTGCTTGTCCACATGTGCGTGTCATTTATGCCATTTACTTCACGCTTTCCTATTAACATTTTATTTAAATAAATTCACTCTGCCCTAAATGAAAATATCACCTGCAAGAAGTAACAGTAAGAGGAAACCCAATGGGCACCATGTATAATGTTATTAAATCCTTTCTAATTGTTGCTGCTTATCAGTGAGCACTGGAGCAGCTCCCCTGGGCCTCTGTCCTCGACGGCACATGAAGAAAGGACAGAAAACGGGAGGAGTGCTTCCTGACCATGAACTCAGAGTTGTGGGACAGGTCACGGCCGTGTGCGGACAAGTGCCCAGCACACACGCACACAGCCGGGCCGAGGAAGGGCCCTCGCACAGACTCACACTGGTTCTCGAAGAGCAGGACCTGCATGCCGTAGAGGGAGAAGGACTGTCGAAAGTTGTACGTCACCGAGTTCTTCTTCTTCTGAAAGATCTTCGTAACCTGTGGGCAGCCGGAGACAGAGGCTGAGCTACACCATCTGCCCTGCCCTGGAGCAGCTCTGGGAGCTCAAGATTGAAAATGTATCTGACGGTGACCATGTTCTCCTGTAAGAATTACTCTGCGTTTCAGAAGCATGAAGGTCCCTGCTGCGGGAAAGAACTGACATGGGGAGGAAGGCACATCCATTCATACCTTGATGTGGACACTGCTTTCTGTTCCTGTGAGACCCTGGTGCCATCCTAGCTGGTTAAAAAGCCCCGCAATCCAGCAGAGGTGGCAGGCATGTGACCTCATGTGGCACTGAAGACATCGTGTAAGGGTCTTATGGCCAGGGTCCTATCTGACCACTGTAACCCTCAGAGACTAATTTACAAGGGAAATAGATTCAGAGGTTTGAAGTGACTTGCTCAAGGTCAGATATGCTTAATAAAGAACTTGACCCCACACGTCTAGATGCCCACCTCAGGAATCATACAAGTGCAGCTGGTCCTTAAGCAGATCTAGGGACAGGAACCTGCAGCAAGGAAGCCTATGGCACACAGTGGGACTGAGACCCGAGAACAGGTTCCCTTTGCTCTCTGCAAGGGCATCTTCACCCCCCACTGGCTCACATCCATGCTGCCTTTTGGGGGGCAAGCATGCCTCATCCCTTTGGGAACACCCCCCTACCCCCTTCAGTCCATTAGTCCTGGGGACTGTGACCCAGACTTAGCCACTGAGACAGCACCACACCTGCCTGACCCCATGGCTACCTCAGGCTCGGGCACAGGATACAAGACCTTTGCTGGGATTCTTAGGAAGAGAATCCCATTGGTGGCCAAGGAGACAGCATTAAGCCTGGAGCTGCCGAGGCCGACTTTCCCTTCCTGGACAGAGCCTGCCTGAGAAGGCTCCACATAGAGGAGAAGCCTACAAAGCCGAGAGATGGAGATTATTCAATGGAGTCCTGCTGACATGTCTGAGCTTCTGAAACAGCTAAAGATGAGGCTCTAAAATCCCTTCTGGACTTTTACGTAAGCCAGTGAAGCACCATTTTCAATGGTTCCAGTTTGTGTTAGATTCTGCCCCTGGCGATCCAAAGAGCTGGGCTAATTCCACCCCCTCACCTCCACCCCACACATGTGGGCATTTTCCCACATGCGGGCACACAGCCAGATCTCCCTGTGCAGCAGGTGTCAGCCACAAATGCCACGGGGGAACCACATACCACCAGGAGGTCATTAAACAGGAAGATTTCTCGCTGGTGCAGTCCAAGTTTCTGGGGCTTATTTGGGTCTGGAACTTCGAAGAGCCGGCAGTAGCAGACCAGTCGCCGGTGAGGCAGAGAGAGAACCTGTGTGGGGAGGGGAAACAGTGTCCTCAGCAGCCTGCCCAGCTCTGGGGCCTGGGCAGCACAGGAGTCTAGTGTGAGTGTGAGTTACCTAGCTGTTGGGCCTTGTGTTCAAAGCCACCTTTTCTTACAAACCATGCAGAGTAGACCACGTTTTATGGCTTGTGGCAGTTTCTCGCTCTGTCCTGTAGGATCATGGTAAGTGTCCCATTTCTGGAGAGACTTGATTCTTTCAGGCAAGTACCAGGCTTCTTAGAGGACCACACTCACATGTAAGCCCTCAGCCATAGAGAAATCCACGTTTCCTGAGTGCCCACAAAGCCCCCACGTGTCCCTGTAAACATTTTTCTAGAGAATATACTCTAGATGAGGAAACTGAAGCACAGAGAGATTGAGCAAGTTTTCTCAACCACACAACCAGGAAGCTACAGACTCTCAAGAGTTTTCCCACTGTCCCAGGCCCCTCTTAAATGACTTTAACATTTCCGAAGCCTGAGTGACTCTATTCAAACTCTTGAGCTATCCATCACCACTCTGTGGGGCCTGGTCTGACCCTTTGCTATGCACACTTATCTCTGAACACACCTGCCCCAAGTTCACAGAGCCCCCCAACCTTGCCACAGTCCAAGCTGCTATCAAGGCCTGGTATGACAAAGCATCGTGGAGGCCCAGGTGTGGTTCTAATAGCACCCCAAGTCCCGTAGGAGACAGACAAGTTAGCGAGGAGACAGCACATCCCCAGACAAGACCCTCAGAGGGTAATACATTCACAGGCAGGGGGCACTCTCTAAGGGGCACCCTGGTAGAGGGGTGTCTGAGCTCAGCACATCAGAAAGATAAGCTAAGGGGCACCAATGTGTGGCCCAGCCTGGCACACTCAGGGAACGGTGTTGTCTGGAGTAAAAGTACAAAGGAAAGAGGATAGTGGGATGTGAGGCTAAAGAGGTGGATGAGGGCAGGTCAGAAAAGTGTCCAGGAGTGTTGGTCTCTTTGTAGGGAAACTGAGAAGTGGAAGGTGGCCAGACGGTTTTGTGATGCTGACTTGGCTGATGAGCGAGGGGCAAAGACAAGTACAGGAGGGATGTGTCGTGGGACTGCGAGGCTTGCAGTGTACGTGTGTGCTCCAGGGGCATGCAGGCAACTTCCTCAAGGCCGTGGCAGCAGAGGATCCTCATGTAGGAGCATGTTGTTGGGGGCAAAGCCTGGGCAGGTGAAGAAAGAGAAGGCCCTCCAGCGCACACCAACATCATCTGTTTCAGGTACAGGGTCTCAGGGTCTGGGGACAAACCTTGGTCTCTGAGCTCAATGGGGCCCACATGAGAGCGAAGGGGAGTATCTGCTTTCAGCCCGATAGCACAGCCCTTCCTGTGTGGCTGCAGTCTCTGGACTTGCAGAGATTTGAGGCTGGGCTGGTTTAATTATGCAGATCAAATTTCTTATTGCTCCAGAAATTAACTCAAGCAGCCAGAACTGTGGATCTAGGGGCAGGGAGATGTGCCCACATTGCACACCCTCAGGGTGGGATACCAGCCAGAATGTGAAAGGAGAGGGATACTTACACAGCCAAGCCCGTGATGCAGGGATCCAATCTACATGGGGAAATAGCAAAGAAAAAAAAGACGTCAACGTTCCAAAAGATGTAGCTGGGCCCTGAGGAAACTAATAAGCTATGCAATATCCTCTTAAGGCACTTTCCCTTGGCTCTACTAGCTACACCAGGGGGACAGGTTGGGGAAGCCCTCTCACTGGTGGGCTCTGAGGGTATTTCCAAGTCACAAAGGAAGTGTACAACCCTGCCCATTGGTTTATTAAGAACCTCAGATTCTCTTCCACTTTAACCCAGAGTAAATGGTTGTTATTCCCAAATATTAGAAGCCACTTAAAGAAACCCAAATCCTGAAAGAGAGAACCAGCCTTGCCCGGAAGGGGTACTAGGGCCACTGGCAGCAGCCAAGGCCAACAGGTGACCTTGACTGGAAGAGGGATGTAAGCACCTCAGGTCCCCCCAGCAGCTCTTCTAAGACACAAGGCCACCACATACCGGCTTCTTCCCCACGATAAGCTTCTCCACCTTCTGCACCTGGGACACATGGTCCTCATTGGTCTTTAGCTCCCGCTTGCGGATCCGCTCGTAGATACCGATCAGCATCTCCCGGGGAATGTCCTCGCCGTCATCTACTCCTGTGCAGGAGACAGTGGTCAGGTGTCAGCTGGGCTGGGGCCTGGGTGGCTCGGTTAGCCTTGGATGCCAGGCATACTCTGATTTACCAGTTTCTAAACCAAATCAGAATAGTGATCGCTTTTACCACTCCCAGCAGAACCACAGACCTCCCACCAGAATCACAGATACTAAACATTCTCGATCAGTCATCAATTCCTCAGAGTTCTTCCATCGGGGGCAAGGCCAGCACAGCTACCTAGACAAGCATAGGGGGCTGTTCAGAAGGCTTTATAAATGTTACCTTGCTGATCCACAGTCCCATGGGGTGGGCATACTGCCCCATTCCACAGATGAGAAAGGCAAGGACCAGGGAAGGGGTTGCGGATGGGGTTGGGGTTGGGGTGAGGGGAGGCTATATAGATAGGATTTGTAAGTTCAGGCTCCAAAACTGGGCTCAAGGCCTCACTTCACCCCTTGTTAGCCTTGTGACCCAGTCTTTCTGAGCTGGGCATCTGTGAAACAGGCCATCAAGAGCACAGGTGACTTCAGAGGGCTGTTGTGAGGAAGTGTGAGCAGCTCATGGTATGCCCCACAAAGTGAGAGCTCAGTACATCCAAACAGTTTGCCAAATGTTGCCCCAAGGGCAGTAACTGGAGGCCAGGACTCAAACCCAGATTGCTCTGATAACAAGCACATACCTTCTCCTGCACGATCTGAAAATTGCTGTGAGAAAAGAAACTCAGCCCTACTCACAAAAGAAACACAAACCCACATCCATCCTCAGACAGTAGACTGGCACGAGTTCAGAGGTTTGAGAACGTGCTCTGTTGGAGAACATGCTCTGTTGGAGAGGCCTACAAAGCCCTTCAGACCTAGCAGCAGCCCTCACACAGTGTATGCTCCATGTAGGGAGTGGCTATCTGAGTGCTCTGAACTAAGCTTCTGTGTCCCCTCAGGCTCCAGTCAAGTTTGGGAAGGGGGTGGCCTCTATTCTCTCTAGTCTTCCTGTTATGGCAGTGCCCACCACCAGGGGGTATGTTAGAATGATTCAAATCCCAGGAGAGGTGACAGAGCAGCCTTTATTACACAAATAAAGGAGAAGAGTAGAAATTTTAAACTGCTCAAGAAGCTCACCGTTGGACTTGATTTATACCGGCTTTTTTTCACTTAAGAAAAAAATTTGATACCTCCTCCCTGGCTGCTCGAAGATCAGCCACCATCATGAACGGCACAGTAACTATCCAGGAAGTTCACGACTAACAGACTGCTTCAGCGGAAACAAATGGTCATTGACATCCTTTATCCTGGGAAGGACAAAAATTCGGGAAAAAGTAGCCAAAATATATGACATCACATCAGGTGTCATCTGTGTATTTGGATTCAGAGCCCATCTTGGTGGTGGCAAGACAACTGGCTTTGGCAAGATTACACAAAGAAAAATGAACCTAGACACAGACTTGAAAGACATGATCTGTAGGAGAAAAAGGCCTCAAGAAAACCCCAAGAGGAATGCAGGAACAGAATGAAGAGAGTCGGTGGTACTGCAGAGACCAATGTTGGTGCTGCAAAAAGTGAGCTAGAGATTGGACAACAAAAGGAGCAAAGATTCTTCAGTGACCTTCTCTGGGGTGACTGTACAGATTTTCTTGAGAGGATTAATAAACTAAGAACTTTTATGTGCAAAAAACTAAATAGATAAAATTTTTAACAATGATACCATTTCTAAGGGGAACTCAGTCCGCTATAGCTGGTATTTCCCAAGGAGAGGGACACAGCTCCTTCTCCCCTTCCTTCCAGGACTGCAGCTACAAATGGCACATGCCAACAGCTAACGTGGAGTCACCTGGAAAACAGCTGTTCCCGTTTCGATTCCTTCCCTATCTGATGCCAAGAGAAGGCCCACCTCTTGCCACCTACCTCATCAGCACCCGTCTAACATGAAGTCACCTGCCAAGGAAGAAAGGGCAGCCTCAGTCTCAGGGCCTAGCCAGAAACAGCTCCTGCTGGAATCAACAGTGGTACTTTCTTTTCATTATATGCATTTTATAATGACTGCCTATGTGTGGCAAATGCTACTGGTTTTCCATTTATGATAATGATATACAGCTCCTTTTAAAGATATATTTAGGACTTCCAGCCAAGACGGAGGCATTGGTAGACACACTGCCTCCTCGAACAACAAAAGAAGGACAACAAATTTAAAAAAACAACCAGAGCTGACAGAAAATCAAACTGTATGGAAGTCGGACAACCAAGGAGCTAAAGAAGAAACAATCATCCAGACTGCTAGGAGGGTTGGAGACGGGCAGCCAGGTGGAGAGGGCTCCTGGTGAGGCAGTGGCTGAAGAACTGGGGCGGGCAAGGCAGCAGCTTGAGAACTGGGCATTCCCATATTCACGTGCAGATAAACTGAGAGGAACAACTGGGTAGCGTGACAGACCGCAAAACCCAGGGTTCCAGAGTGACGAAATAAAGCCTCAAAGCCTCTGACCGAAAACACCTGTGGGGGTCCTAGAACATACACAAACTCACCTACCCGGGAATCAGCACCAGAAGGGCCCAATTTAATTGTGGATAGTGGGAGACGTGACTGAAAACTGGCAGAGAGTGGAGCAAGTGTCACTGTTCCCTCTTGGACTCCTCCCCCATATACTGCATCACAACAAATCAAGGTGGGTAGCCCCACCCTAGTGAACACCTAAGGCTCCACCCCTTACTACAGGTGCGCTGATACAAAAAAAATGGCCCAAATGAAAGAACAGATCAAAGCTCCCGAAAAAATACAACTAAGCAACAGAGAGATAGCCAACCTATCAGATGCACAGTTCAAAACACTGGTAATCAGGATGCTCACAGAATTGGTTGAATTTGGTCACTAATTAGATGAAAAATGAAGGCTATGAAAAGTGAAATACAGAAAAATGTACATGGAACCAATAGTGATGGGAAGGAAACCGGGACTCAAATCAACAATTTGGAGCAGAAGGAAGAAATAAACATTTAACCATCACTGAATGAAGAAATAAGAATTTAAAAAAAATGAGGAGAGGCTTAGGAACCTCCAGGACAACTTTAAATGTTCCAACATCCGAATCATAGGGGTACCAAAAGAAAAAGAGGAAGAACAAGAAATTGAAAACTTATTTGAATAAATAATGAAGGAGAACTTCCCCAATCTGGCAAAGGAAATAGACTTCCAGGAAGTGCAGGAAGCTCAGAGAGTCCCAAAGAAGTTGGACCTAAGGAGGAACACACCAAGGCACATCATAATTACATTAGCTGAGATTGAAGATAACAAGAGAATCTTAAAAGCAGCAAGAGAAAAGGAGACACTTACCAACAGAGGAGTGCCCATACGACTGTCAGCTGATTTCTCACAAGAAACCTTCCAGGCAAGAAGGAGTTGGAAAGACTTATCTGAAGTCATGAAAGCCAAGGACCTACATCCAAGATGACTCTATCCAGCAAAGCTTTCATTTAGAATGGAAGGGCAGATAAAGTGCTTCCCAGATAAGGTCAAATTAAGGGAGTTCATCATCACCAAGCCCTTACTATATGAAATGTTAAAGGTACTTATCTAAGAAAAAGAAGATAAAAAATATGAACAGTAAAATGACAACAAACTCACAGCTATTAACAACTGAACCTAAAAAACAAAAATAAACTAAGCAAACAACTAGAATAGGAACAGAACCACAGAAATGGAGATCACCTGTAGGGTTATTGGCAGGGAAGTGGGCGGGGGGGGGGAGAGGTAAAAGATACAGAAAATAAGTAGTATAAATGGTAGGTAAAAAATAAACAGGGGGTGGTTAAGAATAGTATAGGAAATGTAGAAGCCAAAGAACTTATATGTGCAACCAACCCATGGACATGTACTAAAGGGGGGAATGTGGGTGGGAGTTGGTGTGCAGGGCAGAGGGGAAAATGGGACAACTGTAATATCATAATCAATACAATATATTAAAAATATATATTTAAATAAAAAGACCAAAAGAAAGGACAAAGCAGTTTTGAGAGGAACATTAAGTGTAAAGGAGGGATGGGTTGGGCAGACACAGTGAGGGGTGCAGCAGGGACAGGGGTGGGGTGTGATGGCTCATCTGTTTGGCTGCTGCCTGCTGGAGGCTCCAGGACTCAACATCCAGACTCCATTCTGTTCTTCTGCGTGTCCTCCTAACCAGGATTTGCTTGACCCGTGTCTGGCCCGGCCCTCTGGCACTATGATGAGCTAGTGAGAGGCTCTCCAGCCTCTGCCCCCTTGTAACCAACTCCCCTCCACCTTAACTTGTCAAACCCCTATGCATCCTCTAACAACAAGCTAAAAACATCACTTACTCCAGGGGTTAGGCTCCCTACATCCTAAGACCCAGGCATGTGTCACCCAGTCTGTGCTCTTACCATGCGCACTACTAAGAAAGCACTTGTTCTTTATAGTACTTTGTGCTGTGTCTGCCAGTTCTTGGGACCAACACTCCTCAAAGGCCCCTCTGAGCAAGAACTGCAGGTGCTGAAGCCAGGCCCCCTTGCTCTCCCACGCACCCAGCACGAGGCTGTCATAGTCACCTCTCAGCCCCACACATGGCTGGGGGCTCATGCTCAGAGGGCATTTGTAGGAGGCTGTGCATTTGATCCCAGGGCCAGAACAGCTCACCTCGGAGGTTCTTGACGAAGTCCTCCAGCTTCATCTTGCGCTCAGGCTTGACGTTGGGGCTGTACATGTCTGTGTTGAGCAGGATGATGGCGAAGGCCAGGATGAAGATGGTGTCTGGGTTCCGGAACTGTCGCACCACCCCAGGGTTGCAGATGCAGTACCGCTGGCTGGGGGCCGTGGAGATGGAAGAGGGTCAGGGCCACCTCAGTCAGGGAAGGGAGGGAGTCTGCCTATCACTCATGAGTAGCTACCCAGCTCTAAACAGCTGAGGCTGGTCACTGCCCTTGGAGCCTCGCCTTCTGCACCTGGTAAAAAGGTACAACACTTGCCTGGCAGAGAGTGGGCCCTGACTATCCACTCGCCCCTTCTCACTCTAGTTATATCCCACACACCTGAACAGTAGGCAACGGCTTTCAGGGTGAAGACCACATTTCCCAGGCTCCCTATGATGGCTACAGACACGTGATTAAGTTATGGCCAATGGGATATGTGCACCTTCAAGGCTGTGCCTTAAAAAGCAGGGGTGTGCCCTCAACTCACTGGTCATTCCTGGAACAGGGATGTGATGGTGGGTATTGGACTGAGGTTAAAAGAGCCTGCCCTCCACACCACTGAAGACAGAGATGCACTTCCACGTTGTTTCAGTCTTGGCTTCTGGGGCATCTTGTTAAGGTACCTAAGCCCACTGCCTCATACACACCCTCTTGGGGCAACAGCCTTTGTGGGGGGACTCAGGGAGGCAGGAGCCACATGGTACTATCTGCCCCCACCTCCAAGAGGCCTCTCCTTGGTAACCTCTCCTTGGTAACCTCTCCTTGGTAACCTCAAGGAGGCATGGTAAGAGTGGCAGAAACAGAGCTCCATCGCTCAGACGATGAAGGCTTCAATTCTGTCTTCCCCATTAGGGGAAGGGCCACCCCCTCCAAGAAGCCCTCCTGAAAGGAAGTGGCTGAATATGCCCCCTACGCAAGGTCATAGGACTGCCCTCCTCCTGTGTCCACGTTCCTCCTTGGCCCAACACTTACGCTGAGCCCAAAGTGCTTCATCAGCAGTTGACTGTGTCTATCATGCTCAGCAAGGAGCAGAGGTGCCTACACACACGGTGTGCACAGAGTTCCAGGATGAAAGACTGTGCAGTGACCTTGAATGCAGGCTGTCTGTCATGCCAGGTGTTGGGCTAAGTGTGCCCACACGTCCTAAGTGGTTTAAACCTTCCAACCTGTCTAGGGTGGGTGCTTTTGTTATTCCCAGTTTACAGGCAAGGATGTGAGGCACAGCGAGGTTAACAAGCACAAGGTCACACAGCTGGAAAGTGGTGGAGTAGGGTGTTAGAATCAGGCCATCTGGCTCTGCAGCTTGTGCTCTGAGTCACTATGAAAGAGTGGCTGTCCCTGTAAAGGGCGAACAAATGAAAACACAGATGGACTCATGAATAGATGAGGCTCATGAGGACTTGGAGGAAGACAAAGACTGTTCGAAAACCCTGGCTCTAGCACTGACCAGCACAGTGCCTGGCACCCAGGAGGGGCTTCTACCCCACTTCCCAGGTGAGTTCAGGGCCACCAATCCTGCATAGGAAAGGGGGCTAAGGGATTCGGCCCTTGAGCTAGGAACCTTCCTTTCCCTGACGCCCTCCCCCTGCCCTGCCACGGCCCAACCTGAAGGCCTCAATGAGCCGCTCCACCTTCTGAGCCTCCCCCTGGACCCGAATGTGTGCTTGGAACTTCCTGAGGGCTTCATCCAGCTCCATGGCAGAGAAGTCCATCTCGTCCACCACGCAGCTGAAACAAGACAAGGCCACATCAGAGTCCTCTTCCCACACAGCCCCTGCTGCCTTCGCATCAGTAGGGTGGGCACATGCTTGCAAAGGATGCACAGAGGGGTGGTGCAGGCATGTCAGGGAGCTGCCCTCGGGGCCACAGGGACAGTGCTGCCACTAGTCTGGGAGGACGCCTGCTCAGCTTCTCCCATCGGCAGGCAATTGAGATTATGGCTAAAGATCCCTGTGCTTCTGGGGAGGCCCATAAAGCCCTGAAACTGTAGGAAAATGTGGGTGCCTACCTCTGTGTGTGCAATTTTCTACAGATATAGAGGCAGCCGGATCATATGGCTATTCCCAATAAGGACCCTTTGTACAGAAACCAATGTTTTCAAGCCTGTGTGTTACACCAGGCACGTAGCAGATTTAATGCATGAATCTTCTCGTGTTCTGTGAGAGAGACGAGGAGCATACGCCCGTCTTCACAGAGAGGAAATGGAGGCTGGGGCACTAACTCTCCACACAGCCGTCTCACACAGAGCCGGTCCTGTAACGTAAATGGTCTGGGGAGAGGTGGCTGGGTTTGGCCAGTGTTTCTGAGACCCTCTTGTCTGCCAATCAGAAGAATGGGGAGTGGAGCCTGCGGAGGCCTCTGGTTCTTATTAGAGCCAGGGACCCGCCTTACAGCCTGCTTTGTCTTCTGATCAGGACTCCTGAACAGAGAGGGACAGGCCTGCACCAAGGACCCAAACAGCATACACTGGTGTCTGGTTTATGTCTGTAACAAGGCCATGGCCACCCTTGTTGTGAATGCAGAGGCCTTGGCAATGGGGGAACCTAACCCACTCCTAGAGCACGACTTTCACTGGGGGCAATGGTCTTAGGATAAGATGTTTGTGGCCCCCATACTTCTCTGAGCACTTGGGGCAACAGCCTTTGTGGGGAAAGTTAGGGGGGCAGGGGCCACACGGTACTATCTGCTGACCAGCACCTGAGTAGGATGCTGGTGCGGAGGGAAGAACCTCACTACTTCCTGTGGCCGCTGCTATTTTCTGATCCAAGGAGAACAATGCACGGATTTCCTATAGACCAGAAGCCAGTGTGGAGGCGGGCGCAGAGGGGACTGCAGAAATGGCTGTAGGGGAGTGGGGCTGGACTGAACTGGTTTCCCTGAACCACTTCCTGTACAGGTTTGATGGGGGAGAGAGTGGCAGTAACCACACTAGTAGGGCAGCAGGCCTTTCCCGGTGAGGCCAGGACAGAAACACTGAGCAGGAAGAAAGTTGCCCCAGTGGGCGTATCTGGCTAAGAAAGGACACAAGACTCCATTCTGGTCTGGTGGGTACTGGCCACATAGCAGCCACGGCCGAAGTCCCTGGCTCACTGTACTTCCTGTGTCCATGTGTGTGACTGAATGAGTAAGTGCACATGTAAGTCCATATATGTGTGGGGTGCACCCAGGCCAGTCCCTCCCGCTCTGACCCTGGGTTTCCTTATGTGTGGAACCCAGGCCACAGACCCATCCACCTCCCCGCAGAGAAGCATCCGAGGCAGCGGGTGCACATGTGGCCGTGCCCTCGCTTGTCCTTTTCCTTGATGAGGCAGGGGCTGGACGGAGGAAAGCCAGTGCCATTGTTACTGATGGTTGCCACTTTACCTGGCTCTGATTTCTGTTTCTGGGTGATCTCTCCAAGGACAGCATAGGACAGCACATCAACTCCTAGCTGCCTGAGTCAGAAAAATCCTCAGCAATAAAGCCTGGGGAAAATCCCCCAGGTCCCAGCAAAGGGTGAGCAGGACGCGTACGGAGCCATCCCATTCTGCTGGCTTTGGCTCCTCACCTGTGAAAGGGGGTCACTGATACCTGACACCCACCCCTACGGGTGAGATAAGGACACAGGGCCTGAACATAGTAAACACAAGGGTTCAAAAGCAGGTGCCTTTCTACTCAGGACAGTCCAAAAGAGGAAAGGAGAGATTTAGGATACATGCTGGGCATACTTAATCAAAATTGCCAGCAGCTACCAGGGAGCTGGAAACCCATTTTTCTGCAGGGTTCCAAGTAGCTGAGTGCTCTGGCCTCCAGCTCTCTGGGCTAGGGGTGGTGGTGGGGTGGGGGTGGGGGTTGGACTCTTACCCCCTGATCTTCCACCCAGGAGAGGCCAGAGAGAGAGAGAGAGAGAGAGAGAGAGGCAGAGATCTGGGTGTGGCGCTTCCTGTCTTGGAGAGGCTGCAGTCTCTCTGAGCTGGCTCCCTTCACTCCATCAGAGGGCGTATGTCAAGGCCCTGACCTCCCACACCTGTCCTAGCAAGTGCTGGGCGGCTCAGCTGCCTGAAGGGAAGTTGTGGTGCGAAGAGTGCAGGGGGGCACCCAAGAGTGAATGCCCACATATATGTATGGCATGTGATGTGTGTAAAATGATGTGGGGGTGTCCAGGAGCTAGATAAAGGTAAGGGGAGGTTGTGCTATATGTCCCAGCAAGCAGGGCAAGCCCGACAAGTCAAGGATTCTGCCACATGAACGTGTCTATGTGGCCCAAGCCCCAGCCCCAGAACTCACTCCAGCACATCTCGGTTGAACTGCTTCTGCCTGTTGCCCAGGAACTCGCCAATCATCTGTCGGCTCAGGCCCTTGCGCTGCAACAGGAAGTGGGCTACTCCCACTGGTGTGTCCGGCACAAAGCCACGTTCAATGAGGTACTGGATGCCCTTCTCAGGCTTCCTGGTGGGTGGGACAAAAGACAGGCTCAGCACTGGCAACCCTGGCCCTTTCAGGCTTGCTCTCCACCTCCATGGGCATTCAAGGCACCCCAGCTGGCCCTGGGAGACCCCAGGCTCTCAGCACCATGTCCTGTCCCATCCCCAGCCTCCAACATGTGGGAACCCAGAACTGCCCAGACCCTGCACCAAGAATGGTAAGGCTGGGCCACACACAGGTGCATAGCCATGGATGCTGGAGCAGGGACCCTCCCCAGCTGCCCTGTGCTGACCCAAACATGGGCCCTGTATAGAACTGGCCCCCACCCACTGAGTCGAAGCTGGTGCCCCAAGCTGCACTTCCAGGAAGATTAGAACCCCTTGCCCAGCATATGCTGGCATTGCTGGCCTGCCCTCCACCCACCCACAGAGAGTAAACAATCTCTAACCCCTGTGCATCACTATCTAAGCACCCTATACACTAACTTACTTCTTACACTGCTCTTTGGGGTCAGCACTCTTGTTACCTGTGCTGTTTAGGAGCTTCAAACCTTGTGACCTTGCCTTGTAGTAAGGACTTGCTAACAGTGCCTGGAATGATGCCCATAATAAGCACCAGGAGAGGATCTTAGGATTAGCCACAATTTACAAAAGAAATGGAGGTGCAGCACATGCCCTCCATGGGCAGTCGACAAGGGCTTTGGAGACCGCGGAGCACGTCCACCTGCACAGGAAGCTGTGAGGCAGGGAGGTCCCCCCTGGGCTCAGCTGTGACCTCAGGCAGGCCCCTCCAACCTTTTGGGTCTCCATCCTCCTGCCTGCCGTGTGGTATGACATGAGCTTGACTGACCTCACAGGGAGGTCCTGATGGTCCAAGGAGACAGGGTAAGGTGAGGGAGCCACACATGGACCCTGACAACCCCAGAACCCAAGGAGCTGTGGAGCCCTAGGGTGCACCTAGGGGCCGGCGGTACTCCCTGCCCAGTGGGCAGAGATCAGTGTTTTGCTATCCCCTGAGGGCATGAAGATGAGGGCCAGTGTCAACCTGCCCCATCAGCGAGCGCTGCAGCTCCTGGCTGACAGCAGTGTCCTGCAGGTACTAGATTTCTGCATGTAAGCAAAAGTGAGCCTTCTGCTACAAGGTGACCCTTCTATTTTTATCCTGGGATGACCGCACACCCTGACCTAACCCTCGGGAGCTTGGCAGGAAGCAGCTGCTAGCCAGATGGTTCTTGGCACTACTGTGGTGACAGAGTGGCCTTGTCCCCTCACCCCTGCCAGGGCTCTCAACATCCCCCATTCTTCCCCATGACTCTAGAATCTTTAACCAAGAACCCCACATACTCCAGGCCTCTCCAGCCACTCCCCAGCTAATACTCTGTCCAGGACAGGTCATGTTTCCTCACTGACCCACTCATGATGGCCCCCATGGGACCATGGCCCATGCCCACCTCCCCTCCCCCAACATTTTCCTGTTGTTCTAGTATAGTTGTCCCAATTTTAACCCTCTGTTTTTCTCCACTGTCCCGCCCACCATGCCCCACAGTCAGTCTGTACCCTGTTGTCTGTGTCACTTGGTCACTTATACATGTTCCTTGATTAGACCTTTCCCCTTCTTTCCACCATTATCTCCTTTCCCCTCACCTCTCTGGTCACTGTCAGTCTGTTCCTTGTCTCCATCCCTCTAGTTCTATTTTGCTGGTTCATTAGGTTCCTGTTATATGTGAGATCATAAGGTATGCCTTTCACTGCCTGGCTTATTCCACTTAGCATAATGCTCTCCAGTTTTATCCACACTGCCATGAAAGAAAGGAGCTCCTTTCTTTCTGCTATGTAGTATTCCATTGTGCAAATGTACCATAGTTTTTTGATCCACTCATTTACTGAAGGGCACTTAGGTTGCTTCCAGCACTTGGCTATTGTAAATTGTGCTTCTTTGAACATGGGGTGCATAGGTTCTTTTGGATTGGTGTTTCAGGGTTCTTAGGATATAATCCCAGCGGTCGTGTTGCTGAGTCAAAAGGCAGATCCATTTTAGTTTTCTGAGGAAATTCCATACTGTTTTCCGCAGTGGCTGCACCAGTCTGAATTCCCACCAACGGTGCACTAGGGTCCCCTTTTCTCCACACCCTCTCCAACACTTGTTGTTTGTTGATTTGTTTATGATGGCCATTCTGACTGGTATGAGGTGGTACCTCATTGTGGTTCTAAAAGATTTTACTTATTGATTTATTTTTAGAGCGGTACCTCATTGTGGTTCTAAAAGATTTTATTTATTTATTTTTAGAGTGGGGAAGGGAGGAAGACAGGGAGAGAAATATCAATGTGTGGTTGCCTCACATCGTGCCTACTGGGGATGTGGCCTACAATCCATGCATGTGCCCTGACTGGGAATTGAACCAGCGACCCTTTGGTTCGTAGGCTGGCACTCAATCCACTGAGCCACACCAGTCAGGGCTCATTGTGGTTTTAATTTATATCTCTCTGATGACTAGTGATGTTGAGCAGACTTTCATATGTTCTTGGGCCCTCTGTATGTCCTCCGTGGAGAGGTGTCTGTGCAGGTCCTTTGCCCACCCTCCCTCAACTTCTGGATGAGGGGTCAGTCGTGGGCCTGTGCAGCTGTGGCGATGCCTGGATGGCTGGGCCAGGCCTCTCCTACTCGGATGCCTTGAATCACCTGCCCACCCCTGGCCTCTTGGCCCCTTGATGGCCCTGATATGGTGCCCAGGTCAGGCCTAGTCAGTTCCTTCTTCCCAGGAGGATGGCTTCTCTCCCTTTTCTGCCCCTGCACACACCTTCCTCTGTTTACATGCAATGTCATGCAGCATCATGGACTCCCAGGAGATGGGCTCTTCCACCCTAGAGAAGCTCAAAGTACAATGGAAGAGTGGACACGCTGCAGGAAGGAATGGCTTGCAAGGGCCCTTGGCTAGTGGTGTTGAGCAGCCTTTCATATCTAGGTTCTTCCTAGATTAAGTGTCTCCTCCATGCCAGACACCGTTTGAGACCATAGCGGGGAGCAGGACCACTCATGACTGCCCAGCACAATGGCAGGCTGCATTCCACAGTCTGAAGACCAAAGGGAGTGAGAGACAGCCAGAGGACATGGGGAGGGGCTCCTGAAGGTTGAAGGTGAAGCAGAGGCTTCCTCTGAGCAGGTGACACTCAGGGACCAAAGTGATTAAAGAAGCTTTCCGGTGGACACAAAAGCATATATGAGGGCCCCAGGTGGGCACGAGCTCTGCAGGAGGACCAAGAGGCGGCTCCAGGGTGGCTGAGAATAGAAGAATAGGGGCCCTGGGGGAGGGGGTGAGGATCGCGGTCAGGAATGGGTGGGGGGTGGACCGCACAGCACTGTGTAGGCTATACAGAGAGTCCGGTTTTCCTCTGAGTGGGATGAAAAGTCCCCCTGTGTTCTGAATAGGGCAATAACGGGACCTGATGTCCATGTTTAAGAAGCTCCCTCTGGCTGCTCTGTAGGGAGCAAGGCCAGGCCCAAGCTGGGAACCCAGCTGGAAGACTCCTGCAGGCATCCAGGCAATGGTGCACAGGGTGGGGAGACACAGTTGGTTCAGGACATAATTTGAGGGTAGAAATGACAATATCTGCCAGCAGATCTGTGTGTGAACCTGATGGCTCCAGCTTTTGGTATGTGGAGGGACTCATTCCACCCAGGAGTTTCCACAGAGATGATGTAAGAAAGGAATCAGAATCGACTAGGCCTTGACCAGTGATCAGGAGCTCTACAAGAAATTGAGAGGAAAGGCATGGTGGCAGGAAGTATAGATGAGGAGCTGAGTGAGGGTGGAGGAGTCAGGCCAGGCTGAGGGTTCCAGGGTCCGGATGGATACAGCTGGTGAAGGGAGTCTCTGAATGGCTATACACAGAAGAGTGAGCAGCCTTGGGTGATCTCTCTGACAGCACTCAGCCAGTGCACTGCACATCTGTTGATGTGAGTCCCCCGCCACACTCAATAGTGCAGTCAGGCCCTTCCCACCTTCAGTCTGCCCTGCATTGCTGTCTGTCAACAGCCTGGATCGGCTGCTCCAAGTCAGCTGCTGATTCAGAGTCAGCTGTAATAAGTCAGCAGATGCAGACCACACCAGTGATTTCCCTTACAGCATCTCCCACCCTTGGGTTGTGAGCAGTCAGTTGCGATGCCAAGCTTGTGGGACTTTCATGAAGGCAGTGGACTTAAGGGTCACCAACCAGCTGTACCCAAATGCTAAGTGCTTTGCCTGCTTTTTTTCCAGCAGAGGCCTGGAGGGTCAAAAGCAGGCTTCTCTTCTCCTTTTTGATTTTCCTTTTTTTCTTCTGCTGAAGAAAAGCAGAAGTAGATGGCTGGCTGCATAGCACCTTCCTGACAGGCATTGGTAGGCCTCCAGATTTCCCACCCCACCTCGAGCACTGGCCCCCAGACCTAACAAGCTAACCTAACTCTCAGCCTGGCCAGTCAGAGCCCACCATAGCAAGTGGAGGGAGCCAGCAGGAGTCAATGAGGGACAAGGGGTTCCCTCCCAGCCTTGAGGCTGGACCATAAGCCAGGGCTCACTGGTGGCCCTCCTGCCCCAGTGGGGAGACCGGCGAGGGATGGGGCTGACTCTGGGGAAGATGGCTAAGAGATGACCAACAGCTCTTCAGGTGCATTAACCAGTAGCGCCTCTATGCTTAAACCAGTTTCATTGGGCTCCTGTCACCCATGTCTCTGACTGACACAGAGACCAACATAAGGGTCTGTATACCTGTAGTGTCTGAGGATCCTCTGAGGTCAGGAGGCTGAGCAACCCTGGTGACGGCTCAGGGGTGGGATGGACTCACCAAGTATGGAAGGAGAATCCCTGCTTGCCTAGAAGTGCCCTGCAATTTGGTAACCCAGTCTTGAAGCCTTCCAATGTCCTGCAGAGGAGTGACCACCTTCTATCTGCTCACATACCTCCCTGACCAGCAAGCTCGCCACCCCCTTGATTGCTTATTGTATCCAGCTCTGATATTTACAAAGTTCTTTTTGATATTGAGAACCCA